TGAAACGGGAAGAGAAAAAAAGTAACGTTTCTATTCTATCTTCGATCGTGGATCAAAATTTCGATCGCGAAATGTAAATTAATCGAAAATGTTCAAGAGACAAGGATGGATCATAATTTAAATGTATCCGTGACGACACAAATTCAATGTAAACACGAATATGAATATGTATTACAATATCTCTGATGAGAAACAAGGGTACTGATGAGCTATCATTTTCATCGTGGAAAGTTTGTCTCAGTTTCGGTTAAATTTCCGAGAGTATACTGTTTCCACTGTTCAAATTTCCGTTATCCCACCGCAGGGACAGGGACAACGTTTACGCCAAATTTAGTACTTACAATTCGTCTCTCTTGTTTGACTGATTCAGCTTGAAACGAAATTAATCGCGCCTCGAGCGAATCTTCTCGAAAACGAAAGCGATCCGATCGGTCTTTCGACTCTTAACTGTTTGATTTATTCGACTATTTATCAGAACCTTGGACAGTTATTATTAAGCGGCACTTAATCTCCCTAATGGCACGCGATGCACGCCATCTTGGATGGAATAAATTATCGTTCCCGATACTTAAACAGAACGACGAAGAAATCAGGTTTATTTGTTGGATGTTTAAAGTTCAACAAGTAAAGTTCGCCCACGATGTCTTTTGTTCCTTGGCGGGGAAAAAATAAAAACAAAATTCGATCGAAGCTCGTTCTCCTTTACGAAGAAGCGAAAGTGACTCTTTCGATTGTTTTTATTATCATTTGCCTATTAAAACTCGAGGAGAAATTGTATATGAGTGTCAAACTATTAAAAAATGCAAATCGTATGGTAAGTTTGTTATTACCGCCGTGGAAGAAAGCTTGTATGTTCAAGCCATTTTTCTTTTTTTAATCTTCATACTCGAGCGAGTGTTCGTTAAATAGTAACGATAAGATAAATGATCGATCGCTGTTCGTAAAAGAAGAAATAAGAAACGTATGTTTCTCCTCTAAAATTTTTCCAATAACTTTTAATAATGATATCTAATAATGATATGTTATTCTCCGATTATCATAATTATTTATCACAATTTATCACACTTTCATAATTTTATAATTTTTAAACATTGTTGTTGGTTGGAAAAGATTATTTGCATCGCGTCGCGAACAAGATTTTTCAAAGGGGAAGGATCTGTTCCAATCTGCGATCTAGATTAAAAAAATGTCAGAAACATTTCTGTAACGTTTAATACGGTGTTACAAAGGAAACGATTCCTTCTCGTTTCTCAACGAGAAAAACCTTCAACGGAGGAGATTGCCTTGCCACGCTTTAAATTTTACTTTCGCCGGAAAACTTTTTCCCATAACAAAACTTCTTTCTTTCACTTCTTTCTTGATCCTGCACACATGCCAGAAAAGATGTTGTTCAATGAATGCTCGTTATATCGTTATAAAGAACCAGCGGGAAAAAGATGGTCGAGAGAGGCATGCGAAAGGAATTGTGAGAGGAAGTCCTGCCGCTGTGAACGGGTAATTAAGCAACCCGTTCGGAACATTTCTTTTTTTTTTTACAGGATAATTTAATCGATTATCACGAGCGGATAACGAGCGCGGTAATAAAGTGGGAAAACATAGTCGGAAGTATCGGAGAATGTCGTTTGTTAACATTATTAATTAAAATTTCCTGCGAACAATTACTCGATCCTTTATTTATTTTCAAACTGTTCTATAATAATATATAAAGCTAATGTAAATGTAATTTTCTTTTTCTCAAGCGAAAAATAATACATTGACAATATCGTTATCACTGGGCGAATCTCTTACGCTTCTTTCCACGACGTTGTTTTTTTTTTGGCATCGGTGCCATCCTTGCCACGAGTTCGTAATTGCCAAGATCAACGAAACGGCACATCACTTTTACGCCACACTTTCGCGCACTCTCCTTCCGCGAACTTTTCTTCATTTCCGGTCTTTTTTTTTTCATCTATGCTAATGCAATCTTCTCAGACAGAGAAAGGAGACTCGGATCGCGCTCACTCCATCGCAACTCTTCCGAGTTTTTTGCTTTAATTTCGTCGATTCTGCGCCATTTCGTTGATGTTCGATGTTCGAAATTGTACGAAGACAGAGAGAGAGAGAGAGAGAGGGAGAGAAAACAGAGCGTAGAGTGAAAGTCGACTTTGAACTTGCTTTTTCATTTTTCGACGTTATTCGATTATCTTGAGACTAGGATAAGAATTTCAACTATGCTCGATCTACCACGTTCACTTCTCAACTCTGTGGTGAGCGTTGATATTTTCTTCGGAGTAGAGGATTCCTCGTCGCACAATCGAATTTGCAAAGGTCAGTGACAGAGGAAAGGAATCGTTACGATGACTTTCGCTTCGAACGCTCTCCTTTCTCCTCCCCATCCCCTTCCATCCCTTGCTTGTCGCGAAGTACGCAAATCCAATAATCGTAACGCTCTGTTAACGTAATATCGCGGCACAAAGCTTCCTGTTTATTTACGGCCATGGTCGGGAAAATAACGTATTCAATGGAGACACGTTTCTTGCAGGGTTTAATTGAATTATTGAAGTTCCGATCGAAGCGTGGATTACGTGGAACAAATCGTGGAAGAAATTTCGATGTTCGATAGAATATGTGGAAAATGAAATACGTAATTAATGATTAATCGATTAAATTTATTGATTAAACACAATTATTGTTGTTCTAACAATTTAATCGACATTACAATTTTAAATGATAGTTACGCGTTAATGAATAATTCGCACGTGTAATGAATTGAAAACAATTTTATTATTTAATAGATGGAAAATCTATTATTATAATTAAAAATTTATTTATATTTATTTATTTATTTATTTTTATTATAATTAAATCTATTATTATAATTAATGATTTATGAAGCTATTTTCACAATGAATTCGTAATGGAATGATTAAATTTTATTAAATATCATTAATAAGTGTGAATAAATAAAGCGAATCTGGAATAAATCGAATATTACTTTATTATTAACGTGTAACAATCTTACAACAATAAAATATAAACGACGATAATTAATAACACGCGAGATTTGCGAAATAAATAATTTCGAAATGCAGAAAATTACGAGGATGGGATAGGAAACGTGAAGATACAAATGTAAATATACGTTAAAAAACGTAGGTAGGGAAAGAATAATTTGGACGATGGGCTGTGTGCAACAACGATTAACACGAAGAACAATCAACAACGCAATTTCACACGCGTTAATGGCCCTTGTGGCTATGCACCACCGTTTTGTAAATTGGAATCTTAATTGGAATAGGCTTCACCACGGGGACGGGAACGTGCTTCACCACCTGGAATGGGACCGGCTTCTCGATTTTCACCGGAATGATTTTCTCGATGGGCGTTGGCACCTTCTTCTCCACCTTCTTGAACACTTGTTTCTCCACCTGAAGAGGATGACAGACGAAAAAAAAAAAAAAAAAAAAAAAAAAAAAAAAAAAA